TTCCTTACTAATTCGTCCACCCACTTAGTCAAGTAATGCTCCGTATCATTATCTCTTCTTCAGAGAAACTTGAACACAAGATATCGAGATCTATTACCAACTCATACACATTGACACCTGAAATTCTTTCAAAAGTCACAATTAGCAATCGTCACAATAAATGTTTTAAAAAAAATAAAAATAAACAAAACCATAGACACTTCATTTAGCCCTTGCTTCAAGAATCTTGTATGGAATTAGTCTCCCTTCATAATCAAGTGAAGTAACATATATCATCCAAGAATACATACGCTATTTATATTCGCGTATATGATGGATATATGTTAAGATTATATGCAAGTCTTGCATCCAAATGATGGAACATTAACTTGCACATACATCTCTTTGTCTTCGTTCTATTTGGTTTTGTTTAGAATCAGTTTTTTAACAGATTTTGATAAATGTTGATGAAATATGTAGTTGAAAGTTAATAAAAATTGTGAGTTATATAATGTATGGTCGAAAATGAGTTTTTAAAAATAAAAATTAAAAATTAAAAACGGGCTTCATTTTCATAGGAGGAGCTTCAATGAGACAATATAATTAATGGTGTTTGTCTTTTACCATTATCAAACTTTGTCGTTTATCCAGAGATCTTCCTTATGTTATTAGCATTATGAATCATACCGATTATACGTCTTTGTCAATGTCTTTCCTTCATTTAAAATATGTTCCAATGGGTTGCAGGTTAATCCCAACATAGCCTATGGGATTCTGTTTTTTCCATTTCATGTATTTATGGTTGATGTGGGGAGACTAATTATCCTCACAATTTACCCTTGTTACCTAATACCTAAGCTGTGCTTACATTTTCTATGAAGTCACACTCTACTTTAAAGGGTAAAAATCTCACTTTTGATAAGTATAAAAATAATAATTAGTATGTATAACTTCTTTTAACAAGATTAACATTTTAAAATGAAACCTAAATCTTAATATATATAGTATCAAAGCTAATTAAGCTCAAAAAAATTCGATTCAACTTGTCTAAAGCTTAAATGGACATTCGAAATCTAAGATTGCTATGCTCAAGATGAGTTATCATCTTGTGGGACATGTAATGGAAAATCTTACATCAATTAAGGATTAAACTATACCAACATAAAAGAGTTCCGATTATTTCTCTTAACAATGTTGATTTTTAAGAATGGAACCAAAAATCTTAGTGCAATTCTTATTTTTAATATGGGATCTTCGTAAACAAGTGATTTAGGGATTTATCTTTGCAGTTTTGATAGAAATTTGTGAGAGTTAATTCGTGTTTTCCCAACCAATTATAGCATACTTTTAATGGGCATCATCAAGGTTTATTGTTAAATTGATATTTGATGCATAAAATATAAATAAATATGTTTACTTTCTAGCAATTTAAATTTTTAGATTAAAATGCTTAATGTGATGACAAAGCAAATAATTTTTGTAAAAATTAGGGTAAATTCTTCCATGGATCCCCAACCTTTCACAAGCGTGGCAGCCACATCATTAGCATTTTTAAATCTCCTATTTGTGGTACATATATTTCCAACCTTTTACCACTATATGTACAATACTCCCACCGATGGAAAATGACAATTTTTAACGGGTCACATGATAAAGCACGTGCGATGTCTAATAGAAGGTAAAAATGTCTAAAAAGAGCAACATTTAATGTAAGAGTAATACTTGCCATTTCATTTTTGGAGCACGTAACCTTGTTAATCACATATCACTTGTGTTCCGGTCAAGCGACGCTACAAGTGTGAACTTTCGGCGTAATTAAATGAAGTTATTTCGAAATTCGCTAGCCTTCAATTCCTACTTAATTACGAAAAAATTCTTATTTATACCTCTACTAAAAATAATTTTCGATGATATGAAAGTAATTGTTGAAGATAAAATATAAATTATTTAATATATTTATATAAACTTTAACCAGACTTAACTCTTGAACAAAATGGTCAAATACCTTCTACTCTGTAAATTTAATGGTGAATTATCCCAGTAGTTAGTGCAAATTGTCGTAGGTGTGGAGAAGCAAAGTTGTTTTCTGTGTGAAGTAAACTAAATGGTGACAACTAATTGTATAAGCCAGTTCACCGCTGGTAAGGTTGGTTATCTACACCAGCATATGAAACTGTTTTCTGCAGTTATAACCTGATCATCTCGAGAGGTGTGCCATTCCTGATTTGTTTCAAGCTGTAAATTCCAGAATAGTAGGTCCCACTATGCCGGTATGCCCCTTTTCATCTCTATACTTTATATATAATTATTTATATTTTTATCACGTACGTACATTATACGTACATCCTGATGATTTAAAAACTCCGGCACTGGATTTTCTGACGTCCGATTGACCCACAGGCTGCTGAGCGACTCTTCTTTATGCTTGGGAGGTGGAGGCATCTGACGTCTGTCATGTGACTGTGGGGTTTTTAGGGTTCTTTAAACAATTTTAAATTTAAGCTAAAGATTAAAGACATACAAAAGTTTCTCCATTTTTTAGGGTTCTTTAGTTTTGCAAGTGTTGTTCAGTTTAAGGTACAAAAATGTGTATACTGTATAGTAGACATTATGTCAACCCAGGAAAAACTGGTAGATCAGATCCGTGCCATCGGCACAGTGGGCCAAATCCTTGCGTCCGTCTTCACCTTTTTCATCACTAAAAGCTATGTAGTGCAAGGTAAAAGACATTGAGCTGCAAATAAACCTAAATTTTGTAGATCATAATTTTGTAACTCGACTTGCATTTAGATTCGTTTAGTTGAAAACGAGATATTTGAAGCTCGATCGAGTTTTTCAAGTTCATTTTAAAAGAAATTCAAATATGTATGTAAAATGTTTTGGACACTTATTTCTTGGGAGGGATGTTTTCACATTTGATCATCAAGGAGATAGCCCATAATTTGAAGGGTCCTGATTTGGTATACGCAGCATAATCATTCGATATATATATACAAGTTGTTCAATATGGTTGGTGATGCTTTCTTGGCAGCATAATCATTCGAGAATTTCTTGGGTGAAGAAGGTTTTTGAATAAAAAATGGAATGATTAGGGAAAAAAGAAAAAAACTTCAGCAATTTTGTGACAAATCATTAAATTACTCAATATAATATTGAACAACTTGTATATATATACCTTGCCACTGGCAAAAGGGTCTGTTCCCAATATCACTATCTTATTCCTTTTACCCTTCATTTCTTCTTCCCAGACCTAATACTATTATTAGCAGTTTCTTTTCTTTACTGCACCTTCTGATACAACTCTCAGTCTTCACACGCTTCTCTTCACCTTGCCCATACCTCTAAATTCTGAAATTTGCAACACTTTTCTTTCCCATTTTGAGGACCCTATACATAAAGGGGAAGTAAACAAGCCATGGATATTGACATCATCAAGTCTGCTTCAGATGATGATCAGATGGAAATGATGCTGATGCAAATGGACAAACTCCCCGATTTCTCCAGCCCATACACCGATATTAATGATATGTCGATGATGGTTTATGGGACTCATAATGGAACTAACATTGGTTCAATCCCACAAGTTGTTGATAATAATTCAGCTTCATCATTCATGAACCTGCCTAATAATATATCAGTCTTGGGCTCCGGTTCGGGCTCCCGGACTATTCATCAAGATCCATCAGCTCTGCCTTTCTTGCCTAATTCAAGTGGTGGGAGGAGGAAAATTGCCAGTGATGAATTTGCAGTGATTGCTACTCAAAAGCGCAATTCAATGGCTGTAATGAGGGAGATGATTTTTCAAATTGCAGCAATGCAGCCAATCCACATTGATCCTGAATCAGTGAAACCACCAAAGAGAAGAAATGTTAAGATATCGACAGACCCTCAAAGCGTAGCTGCACGTCATCGAAGAGAAAGGATAAGCGAAAGAATGAGAATACTTCAAAGACTTGTGCCTGGTGGAACCAAAATGGACACTGCTTCCATGTTAGATGAAGCAATTCACTATGTCAAATTCTTGAAAAACCAGGTTCAGTCCCTTGAACGGGTTGCGGCTAATAGGCCAACTGGGATAGGGTTCCCAGTGCCAGTGTCTAGTGGAAGCTATTTCCCCGTGGCACCAAAAAGTTACCAATGTCCATCTCACAATCGCCAGCATTAGATGCTTGATGATAAGTTGAAAGAAAAATGGCTAGTTTTTAGTGTAAAACTGTCTTCCATGAATTCTTGCTTGACCATGGTGTTGTAAAGAAAGAATGTTCTTTCATTATCATTGCCAAATTATGTCATGCATGTGTATTTGCTGAAGAATAATACAATCTTGGCTTATAGAACTCAATTACTATATTCCAATTTCAATGTTTGAATAGCTAAGAGTCTGTCCAACTCTGCATTGGGAAATGATTACAATTAATGAATTGTGTTGGCATTAAACTAACAAATCTTGTCATTCTATGAAATCCAATCAGAGCTTATTTTTCTGTGCAATACACTTTTAGTAGTAAGGAATCAACAGTTTCTGCTTTGGCTTCTATTTTGTAAAATTATCTAAACATGATTAAAAACAACTTTTTAATCTCAGAAGTAACATTTGAATTTCGAATATCCTGTCAAAAAGACCCTAAATATTACGCATATGGGATAATTAGCTAGTATCATCTCCAGTGCAAAAACTATCTTCCCAGGTCCAGCTAGCATTATTTCAGAAAAATCTTGATAGAAAGGGGGGGGAGGGGGGGTAATTGGGGCTGACGTTAATAGGGCTTGTGAGATGAAGTGATTAAAGTTGGGACCAGTGACCAGTGTCATTTGTGTTGAATTTGGTTGGGGCATGAGGGTCAACTATCAAACACTTGCTCCTTGAACCAGTTTCTCGTAGGTCCAGTTAACAATTCATGTACAACTCCTCTTTAGACGAACCAAACATCAATTCATCATAAGTCTACGGAGCAAACAATTGGCTGCAATATTCTTGACTTGTGTACTTGTTAGGCTGTAATTGTATTGGCTATTCTATAGACAAAAGAATTATTATAAAAGAGTTGGAAAAGTCAAGGAGCTTGTTGGGATGTTGTACACATAAACTAGGAGTCATTGGATTCGAGTATGGAACATGGCGAAAGAGTCGTCAAAATTATGTTAGC